AAAATTCCTGGAAGCCGTATTTATTGAAATTAAGGAATGAAACTTATTCTAAATTAAAGCTCAAAGCTTTCTCTTTAAAATGATGTATAATAATTGTTGGGTTGGATTGGAAAAATATTGAGAAAAAAAAGGTTGCAATAAAACTTATATTTTCGTATAAACTTAGTAGAAAGTACCGATAGTTCTAAATGCGCCGAATAGATGACTATAGTTTAAAATGAGTGTTTAAAACTACCGGTACTTTAAAGTACCGCCGGGATACAAAGGGTTAAACCAAATTTATTACTTATTTAAAATAAAAAAGAATGATTCATATAAAAGAATTTAATTTAGGTGAATTAACAAACCAACCCTTCGGGCAAGAAAATAATCTCGCCCTTGCGCCTTGATGCAAATTACCGGGGCTAATGACATTTTCTTTGGAGGCAGCTGCAAGCGGATTGAGTTACCCCGGTCTACCTGCGCTCATATTAAATTCATAATCCTATTTAGCCGAGGATGCGGAAGTCTTTTTGTTTCTCTCCGCCATCTCTCCAAATACCTCTTTCGTTTTCTTCAAACCCAAGGACCTTTTTGTCTTGTAAATTATCACCTCAAATAGTAAAAAGTAACAAACAGAAAAATTGTTCGATACGTTTTGAAATTTAAGATTTTCTATTTCGATTTTCCTTTATTGGGTTAAAAGATAAATAGATCTTGGACTACGACGACAATCGATTCATCATTATCTGTCTTCGGAGACTTTAACCGTGGATAGATCCTAATTGATTGAACGGCCCCCAAAGCAAACCTCAAGAAATCTTGTTTTTACCCTAAGAAAGACGAGACGTCGGGGATAATTCCATCGTTAACGGTTTACACACGATGTCCACGACAGTAAATAAACAATGGTTCAAGAAATAAACGAAAAACTACACGATAAAAGTAAACAAAAAACATCTTGAGTCTATTGTTAAGGTGTCAGTTGTGGTGAAAACTAACATAATAGAAAAGAAAACCATATTAAATATTTATTCGCCATAAATAATAAATTTGATTTTCACTTTTCTTTGATTACAGAAAATCCAAAATTCAGCGAACCCATCTTCAATGTAACAGTTCCTGTAGGTCGTGAAGCGATTTTAAAATGTTTAGTGGAAGATTTAGGAGCATACAAAGTGAGTAAATTATTTTTTCCAAAATGATTAATTTGCAATCGTTCTAGACATCTGACCGTAGTGGTTTGCATTCATCGTGTTTGAACTTGTGGCTAAACTTGCGGGGTACTTTAACGCTTACCCGATCAATCTCGACCCTTTCGGTTTGAATTTATTGGGGTCTCGAGTCGAGGGACTCGGGAATGATTCAATTCGATGGTCGCAATACCCAAATAAACTCTCAGGTTGAGAGATCGTTACACAAATTTTGATGATTATTTAGTACTCATAGAGAACATTTTTAACAAAATAATAAGTAAACGTGTCGTATAAATAGTAAAATAAGCCTTGAAAAAGCTAACAAATAGTATGATAAAATTTTATCTCCAATTTCGCGAACGCTCTCCTTATAAATCCCGGACGCATTAGCCGTTAAAAACGCGCGGACCATGAGGCTTTGAGCCAAGCAGTTTTCCCCCATTTCCCTTACACCCACGTTTTATCCCCCGCTTTTCCACTCCCCTCGCTATTAAGTTGCAAGCCTGATTTTGCCCCACTTTTCGTAGTCGCCTCGTAACAAGCCCAGTTTGTTTCTTTTAAGTTTTCGCCCGAAACTCAGTATTGGAAATAAAAAAAAGTGTGCAAAAAATAATTTTAAAACGAAGAAAATTTATAGGACACCACCTCGTTTCAAAAACGACGAAAAGAATTCGAAGAGGGGTGTTTTAAAAACATCCCCCTTCGGAAGGCGATTAAAGTTAAAAGCACCAATCTTTTTTATTCCTTTTTTATAGGTTGCCTGGCTTCGTGTCGACACTCAAACAATTTTAACCATTCACAGTCATGTAATAACGAAGAATCATCGGATTGGAGTTACTCATAGCGAACGTAAAACTTGGTATCTCCATATTAGGGAGGTTAGAGAGTCGGATAAGGGATGGTATATGTGCCAAATTAATACGGATCCTATGAAAAGTCAAGTTGGATATTTAGAAGTCGTAGGTAAGAAATAAACGTAATAACTTTCCAGAAAACTGTTATATCGCTTTCTTTTCTTCTATTCTTCGTTCGTGTCCATTCTACCTATACCAGTGGATGGAAACTCGTTACCTGCCGTGTTTAGAGGTTACACCCTGGTACGGGCTCTTATTCGCTCGAATTCCATAGCGGAGAAAGCAAACAAGACCCTATTGTGCGTCGAAATTATTGCTCTCGTTTCGCGACACGACGACCAACATCGCGACGGTTTCTTATCAAAAAGGGCGAAATTACGAAAGCTCCAGATATGTAACGCTATTCATTCACGCATATACCCGTTCTTTACGAGTTACTTCTCTCTTTAAGTATTGTTTTTATTAGTACAAACAAAATCATATTTCATATTCTTGAAAACCGCAATAATATTCTGGAAATCTTCTAGAAATCGCTCGATATACTTGAAAAGTCTTATAAGTAATTTAGAAATCCTCTGAATTCATAGAACACCTATTGCAAGTCTTCTAAAAATGCCTAGAAATCATAGAAATTTATCTGGATTTTTGAAATTCATAAAGATAATGTTAATGGCCTCCTTCAGTTTACCTCTCCATTCCTTTCATCTAAAGCTGAAGTCTTCCAACTTCGCACCACAAGCTATATCTTTACACCCCCTCCACAGCGTTTTCCCATGTTTTCCTTGGTAGCGCTAGCCTTGGTATCCAGAATGAGGGGTTAAGAGCGGCTACTAAATGATTTTTCTATATACAGGGTTAGTATAAAAGAATCATCGGGATTGACAAGGCCATAATTCGGAAAGTATGACAGATGGAATAGTAAATGACATGTCTATAGACAGTGACAACCTGTAAGTTTGTCTAATAATAAGCATTTTATTGTTTTTAATATTTACAATTTTCCCCTTAATACATTCTAATATATATTATAAATATATTATTTTCACCCTCTACCCTCTTCCTCCATTTCCATACCCTCGGCCCAATCATCTCCTCATGCATCCCTTTGTCTCCTCACCCCCACAACCATTCTCATCCATCGTTTCCCCTCTCCTAAGATCTGCCCTCGGTCCAACTCCTCCTCCCTCAACTCACTGCACCCATTCAACATATGTTCCAACGTTTCCCATTCCTCCCTGCATAGCCTACACCACCTCTCATCCAATATCTGTTAGCTCTCTCCTCGTTTCCACAACGGAACCTAGCCACCAACTTCTTCCCTTCCTCATCTCCTTCCAATAACAAGTATCTAGGCAGCCCCTCCGTAATTATGTCCCTGTACCTTTCGTTATACCTCCCCTCTTTTATTTGTGTCCTTCTTTCCTGTCTCTGCACATCTCGGTCCCTATCTCTCAACTCCCTCCACATCTCCCTACCCACCCTTCGTCTACTATTTATCTCAGTTACCGAGTAGCCCGCTCGTCTATAATAGTTGTCTCTGTCTCCTTTCCCATATCTGATCTTTCCCTCTCTAATTTCCCTCCAACACTCCCCCAAGATCCCGCAATTTGGCCTCCCTTCTATTCTGTCTTCATATTTCACTATATACCCCGGTGTTTCTTTCGCCACCCCAAGGACCTATCTCCAGTATCTAGCTTGCACGTCCTCCAGCATTGCGTGCTCTCTCCATCCCCATACCTCTGCTCCATACATCATCACACTGCTAACCAGACCTTCAAACATAATCTTCCTCGCTGCCACATTCCTTCCAAAGACTCTCTTCCCCCAACCCCATACTTGTCCCATCACCTTATTCGCCTTTTTTGCCATAGCTATTACATGCGACCCCTCCCTGTTGTCCTCCCTGAACACATACCCCAAGTAAGTATACTCCCTAACCTCCTCGATCTCTTTTCCCTCCCATCTCCAGTTTTCTGTTCTTTTTCTCCCCCCCCTTACAAAACTTCATCATCCTTGTCTTCCCCACATTCACTTCCAACCCCTTCCCCCTAAAATATCTTTCCAATGTCTTTATCATATCTTTCATCTCCGCCGCTTCTCTCCTGTAAGTTTATCTTGCGCATGCCCAAGTCTGCAGTTGTCAAAATGGTGATTATGCAACAGATAGCGGTTTATGATTTGCATGCAACATGCATTCCGAAGGGAATACCAAACTAATCCTCGAATTCATCAGAGCAATCTACAATGGTATCGACAATTTAAGACCTCAGGTCTAGTTGAAAAACGTAAAAGCACCGGAAGACCACGAGTACCTGATGCAACATTGAATGCGGTTAGACAATGTTTCGTGCGTTTGCCACGCCACAAAATTTCACCAGTAAAGCAAGTCGTGAAGTTGGTATTCCGCAGAAAACTATGTGGAAAATTTGGCGGAAGCAAAAAATAAATGTTTTCTCTGCTGTATCCAGCACAAAAGTGTATGGACTGTTTTTCTTTCATGAAAAACGGGGACCGGTTTTGGCAAACGACGGATGATTCCAACAACGTTATACCAACAAGATGGAGCTCCTCCTTATTGGCATAATGAGATCCGTGAGTACCTAAACGAGGAACCGTTGAATAGGCAATTTGGAATTGTTTGCGAGATAAGATTTTCGTACCAGCAGTACCTACAGCACTAGTTAACTTCAGAAGATGCATTACTGATGCTGTTAACAGTATCGACCGAGACACATTGCAGCGTGTATGAGCTGAACTTGACTATCGTTAGATAGAACATTTGTAATGTGCTAAAACTTGAGTATTTTCTCTATTTATTTACTATTCATTTACTATTCTATCTGTAATACTAACTGAAATATAGCATCGTCAAACCTGATGATTCTTTTTTACTAACCCTATATTATATTACAGCTTTTGAGTTCAGCCTTTACACTAGGAAGATGTCTTATGAGTTTCCGTCTTTTCGTTTTCATTATTACCTGCAATCGCCGTCTTAAGTGAAACTTTTCGCCCTGCCTCGCTGTTATTACTTCAAGTTTCCAAGAAAACAAGTTATCATTTTCATTTAGACTTGACATTTTATCTTGACACTGTTATAACTTATGTATTACTCCTAAAACTATTTTGTTAGCATTATAGAGGAAATAAGGAAACTATAAAAGGAATAACTGTAACAATTCATTAAGAGAGTAACGGTTAAAAATGAATCTTTTAAACCTTTTAAATCATGATTTTACGACGTTCCCTTTAACGAAAAGGCTATAATCACAAATTGATTGACATCGGACTGTAATATCCAAGGCGATTGTTTGGAATCGATCAATACCAATACTACCACCTTAGCTTCCCTTTTAATGAATGGGTCTAACAAACGATATTTGCCCTCATTCGATAACGGGGTGCACTTTAGATCATTGTAAAGTATCGGTAACAATTTACTAAATAGGACCGGTTTAAACTAGAAGGAGCCTATTAAGATGTGTACCGGTAGCTAATTCCGAACTGTTTTGCATGCATTTACATAGTATTAGGGTGGGTCGGTTTTGGACTCGAGTAATATGTGAACCATACATCGCGCTCAGTTTTGCTATTAAGACGACATCGTCGTCATCCTGCATATATTATTCCCGAGGCGACGCCTGTACGTAATGACAACACAGCGCGGCACTTAACTCGAGTAGTTTAAGTTATCGTGGCTTCTCGACGAACAGGTAATTTGTCGCATCGTACCACGGTGTAATATGGTACCTAAGTGGGCAAAAACCGGAGAGTTTGAGTCTAATTAAACCTCCAAAAACTATTCAGACGCTCAATAACGAATGGATAGCTTCTAAAGTAAAGACTGGCCACAAACTAACATCGAGAAAGTTTCTTGGATAAATTTAGTTTTAGTTTTCGTTCTATCCACATTTTTGTAATTCCATTTTTTTTTTTTTATTTGGGTAGATTGATTGTTTTGAAGTGATGGATCAGTAAAAAAATGATTTGTTTTGTAATTTTTTGTTATCGTACATAGGAGAGGATTTGATTTTTTAGTTTTTAATTTAAACAATTTCATTTTGGTGCAGCGATTTGTCCGATGTGTAATGGGCGTAAACAATATGTTTTTAACGTGTTTTATTTTCGTTTTGATAATAATTGGAATGAAGTAAATATAAATATATTCGATATACGTGAGTGAAAATCTTAAAATAATTTCAAACATGACTTGTATGTTCCATATTGTTACGATTTTTTTTTTCTAAAAGCATTTCGTTGACTTTGAAAGGGCGTCGACGAGACCATCTTACTTTCCACCTTGCATCATCGCTGCTCGGCTTATTCGATAAAAATTTCGTAGTTCAAAAGGAATCGCGAGCGAAGATGCACTTCCGTTTTCGGTGTTCGAAGGAAGGACGCGAGCATAAGCCTTATACAAATTCCGAACAAGTATGTGTAGAGATTGTATCGGGAGTCCCTTCGAACAGTAAGAAGTTGGAAACAGAGAGAAACGCATATACGTACGTAGATATTTCGGACGCGAAAATAAAGTCACGCCGGCGGTTATTTTATTTGGAAGAAACGCGCTGTTTTCAATAGATGTTATCGTACGTTTTCCTGTGCGCACAAAAGCGCGTTATGTCACGGGCTGCTTTTGTGCTCTGCGCCAGCGGAAAATTTTAAATTAGTCGCCTGTAGGGTTTACTGTCCTGGGAATAATTGAAATATCTTTTCCTTTGCTCTATTTCGCCCTGGCGGATGGCAAACGGCGCAACGGAGATACTGTCACAAGCAAATATTCGAGCACGGCGTCGACCAACAAATTGTAATTAACGGGAAATGCTAAATTGTAAATATTTCAATCTAAAATTTATCATTTATTCATAATCAAATTTAAAAGTTTGCACATACTTTGTTTATACATCAAATTGAAAAGCGATTTCTTTTAAAATTATTCTCAACAATTTCTTTAAAGTGCCCACTTTTCAATTAAAAAATCTGCTTTCAAAAATCACTTTTAACATTGTATCTTAATATATCAGAAAACGGTTATACAAAAATATATTTCCTTAGAAACCAGGGCGTACCTACTTACTTTGTCCCACATAACATGCAACATGTCTGAAT